TCAGATTCTGTATTAGAGGTTTGTACATGTGACAACCAATTCTGGGGTTATGTTGAGTTTATTTAAAGACTTCCGCTTATCTTTCTATCTTATTCTTGTTTTATAAATTCTGTATCGTCGGGTTTTTGGGTGTTAGGCTGACGTGTCCGGTGGGGTTTGGGCACGTGCCATCACATCTGGTTTTGGGGTGTGACAATGGATGAAAGCTAATTATGAAAAATCATGTCAATTATTTGTCGCTTTGAAGCGTAAATGAATTTCTAAAAAAAATCTATATATTATATAATTCATGTTTGTGGAGAGATGATGTGACACGTCTCATATGTCAAGTTTTATGTTTTTCCTAATATTTTTTTATTTTCCGTCATTTTTTTCACTTTATGTTATCTATAAAGAAAATTAAAAAAAAGTCTCTTTATTAACTTCCTTTTTCTTTTTTCTTTTTTCTTTTTTCTTTTTTGCCTAAAATTTAATTTGATAAATTAAAGATATATTTCACAATCAAAATAGATTTGATATTTTATCTCCTCCCTAACAAATTAAAAATATATCTCAAGATATCATGAAAATGATGTGGAAACGACAAGAAGACCAGACAAGAAATGGCCTCCATTTGGGACCTAATGGAATATGAGAGCTGGATAAAAAGGCGCTCATTTGGTCGGAAAACAAGTTATTATGAGATTAATTATTGTAGAATTATTATCACATTGGAATAAAATAACACTATAAATACGGAATAAGTAATTCTGCGAGTTTATTCCAATTAAATATGTGATAAATATATTCTAAAATTAATTATTCCTCAACTTTCCATAATTTCTAGCAATATTCAAAAATAAAAAATTCATAAACTTGCCCCCCTGGCAAGGATAACATCAGCATAAGGAGCACATGTGCCAAACAATTATTTTATTATATATATATTTCATGAAGATAATGCTAGGGTTTTGATAGGAAGGCCTATATATATACTACAAGCATAGGTGAATTTATAGCTAAAATATATATATATATATTTAAAAATTGAATTTTTTTTGATGATGCTATATTATAAGAAGGCGAAATAACTTATCTTAAATATACTAAGGGTTAGTTCTCATTTAGTAAATTTTTTAATGATACATCAATTTTTAAAAATTATAATTCGTCTCTATCAAGATGTTTTCAAAGAAATAATAATTAATATATACTCTTCAAGTTGATTTACTTTTGAAAAATAATGTACTAACAAATTTGAAAATGACTACTCATCGTACATTATTTTTTTCCCCAGACAAGTATTGTCGTTTTCTTTTGTTTATTAGTCGGTCGTGGTACGAAATATATTGATTCAATTAATTCAAATTTATCTGGTTTATATAATTTATTTAAAGGATATTATAGTTTCAAATTCGTGGGTTAGCGTGTATTTAAATTCTTTATATAATCTTGAGTAATTCTCATTTTTTAAGTAAATTTTTAGGGTTGAAATAGATTTAAGAACTATTTATTTAATATTGTATAGACTCGTCCCAGTTAATTATTTACTTAACGTTGAGAATGCACTTAAATTCTTTATATAATTATAAACGATCCTCACATCTTGAATAAATTAACTTATGAGGTTAAATAAGACTCAAAGTCCATTTCTTTAATAAGGGAGATAGAGATAAATCAAGCTAAAATTTTGAATTTATAAATTTTTAATTTTAAACAATGTCTGAATTCTGAATAAATCATTTCTAAAGCATATATTATATAATTCAGGTCTATGAAGAGATAATGTGACATATCTCGCCGGCCAAGTACTATGTTTTGCGTAATGTTTTTGTATTTTCCTCATTTGTTTCACTTTATGTTCTCTACAAAGAAAATTAAAAAGTGTCTTTGTTAATTTTTCTAAATTGGCCTCCCTGTATTGCTCTTTTTCTCCCCAGTAATAACTAGTTTTTACCTTTTCCTCATTAATTGTCCTTTTAACTTTCTTAGTTTTCGCTTAAAATTTACGCTAAAAAATTCAAAATCCTTTTCCAAGAATGTCTTCTTGTGATTTTTGAAACAATAAGAGGCCAAGAACTATGTTTTTCCTAATCTTATCAACTTTTAAGATAAAAAAATACCCTCCACATGAAAAATCTCAACTGATAACTTTTAAGATAAAAAAATACCTTTCACGTGAAGAATCTTTAACTTATAACTTTTAACCTATAAGTGATAAGTTGTAATTAAATTCATCCGAGTAGACTCTAAGTAATCAACTAATCATATGCATTCTATAACATTGTTAACATCCCATGTACCATTATATATTCACTGTCTAATGTTTTTTTTAAAATTTAAATTGAAGAAATTAAATTAAATTAAATTAATACCTGCCGTTGGGAGTTATTGTAGTAGCAATAAGCTCTATTACCATCATTCATGGGGAAAGATGTTGTCATTTTGGCTAATATTCTTCTTCTTCTTCTTCACTTTAGACGGATTCAGAATTTTAAATTAATTGGTACATTATAAATGAATTTTGTAAGATAATTACATAATTTGAATCGAAGATACTGAATTATGATAAATATGTTACTTCTACTCTTGTATAATTAATTTTATCACTATATATATTGTTTTGTTTCTTTAGCATCCTTATTTATCTATGTTATTATTTGACCATGTATTCCATTAAGTACTCAATGCACGAGCCCCAATAAGATCCTCTTTTACAGAGCCGACTTAAAGGGCAAACCATTAAAGCTAATTGTTTTAGGCCCGAAAGATCGAAGGATCCAATTTTTTTATATATTGTTTATATACAATATTATAAATTATTAATAAAAGATACAAAAATTTATGTTGTTTTTTGCAAAGGGATAAAGGTTATTCAGATAAACATCCTAATTTTATGATATAAATATGCAATAAATGAAAAATAAATAATTTGATGACGACTCTTATAATTGAAACAACAAAGTCTCTTGTATTATAGTTCATATGTATAACTAATCTTGTATTATAGTTCATATGTATAACTAATATGTGAATCAGACGAATCAACAAATCCGATTCATCAGTTTATTTCAAATGCCTTCCATAAGTAATCAACAAATTATATGTGCATTGCATCACATTTTATGACAGTACCATTATATAAAGTTTGTTAGACAAGGATAAGATGAAATTTTTACGCCAAGTGGCAAAATATTATTGGCTCTTTTTTAAAGAAAGTCAATAAAAATACCAAAATAAAGATAAAATTTAAATCCTAAATATACAACACTTTAATGGTTTTCATTTTTTCAAACTAAACCTACTAAAAATGAAGTGAAAATCAAAATGATAAAGATTAATCCCAAACATAAGTTTAATGCTAAAATAATATAGTAGGAAGGATAAAAAAAATTACGAGTCTTGTACATTAGATATGATACGTCACTCCATAGAATCGAGTTATATAATATATAGTACATTCCTCTATAGAAATTCATTTACGCTTTAAAGCGATAAATAATTGGCATGCTTTCTTGTATTTTATTTTCATCCATGCTGAAATCTCATCACTTTTAAGAATAGTCCTTGTAAAAGCTTCTTTTGCTAATTTACTCCCAAAATGATTGATGAAAAGTCCTTCTAAAACAGCCCTTAGGTTTATCATTAAAGTCTTTGCATCAGCCTCATCCACAAGCTTTGACGTGGGATGTGTTAACTCTATTCTCTCTATGCTAAAACAATCATTTTTCTCCACCACTTTAGTCATGTCTTCAATAGAGGGAAAATACACTGGCACATTGAATGAGTTAACTAAAGACTCATCTAACTTACCCTGTGGAAAAAAAAGAAGAAAGAAACCTCAATTATTGTAAATGTATGGCTATATCTAACTAGTTCTTCTGTTTCAATTTGTTTGTCTGGTTGTTATTTGATACGAAGTTTAAAAAAGTAAAGAAGACTTTGAATCTTATGGTCTTAAACTAAAAATACGCTGACTGTATCAAAAAGGAAAGTTGAAATTAAAAGGTTAACCAGACAAACAAATTGAAATGGATGAAGTACCAAGTAATTTCACTACCTACCTCGTTCACCAAAGCCATAAGACTAGAACCAAAAAATTTCAAGAGACATTCACTTAGTTGTGGTGAAATTAGAAGCATCATTCCACCAGGAACAATTTCCTCAGCTCTTGCATTGAAGAACATTTCCATGTCCTTTTCAAATTGAGCAACATAAGCATTCATTACTTCAATATTTGAAGCACCTATATAATGAATCAAACCCTTGTTCCATGATGGAGATTTCTCATCTAACAACTCTTTTGGAGTCTTAGATAACCAATGTATAGAAGTAGAACAATGAGCAAAATGTATTGATCGCGATGGAAATAATCTACCATGAAAAGATCCTGAAACTCCAAATGCATAGTAGGATCGATCAATAGGTAGTGATCGAAAGAGGGTGTTGAAATCATTGGTGACATGATCATTGAAGAATATTTGGAATTCAGGAATATTATTTTTGTATTTTTCCTTTAAAGCTTCTACAACATGTTGCATTGCACTAAAAGTGTTTGGTCCAATTGAACATCCCAACTCTGTAATACGAAATGTGTTTGAAGAAGATAACAGGATTTTGATGTCAAGCTTTCGAATAATTGCATCTCTCACCATCTCCTTTGCATTATCTAACACTTCTTTCTGCATTCAATAACATATAAAATTTACTTATTTTACTATTATAGGGGGTAAAGTTCGTACAGTAAATTTAATATGACATATATAATATACTGCATTTTATTGTCACTGTGGATAAATTTAGTTACTGTACAAACAATATATTGATGTATGGTGTGCATTTAGGATCAAGCGCTTACCATTATATCAAAAACTACAACTAGTAATAGAAAGGACACAATTTTTTTCTTAACTAAGTCCATCATGCATGCGTCATCCAATCCAGACCATGCCACCCCCTTGTGGACTGCCATAGGCAAAATGTTGCATTACCCATCACGGTGCTTGATGAATTCTTAATTTAGAGTTGGGAAAAGGCTCAAATATGCTATTGAACTTTGAGAAAAGATGCATTTATGTCATCCGTTAAAAAATTGACTTATCTATGTCATTGCCGTTTGAGAAAATGTTCATTCATGTCATTATATTTAAACTTTGGTTTTGCAAAACCATATTTTACCCCAACAAGACCCCAAACAACTTTTAACACCTTTCAAATTTCGTCCACATCATTAATTTTAATTTTTTTTATAGCAAAAACCAAAATTCTAATATCATTTATGGAGTTAAAAAAAACTCACCCATATTAAAAAAACAAAACTCACCCATATTAATAAAAATGAAAATTAGTCTTAAAATTTCACAAAATCTGCTTTGATTCGTGTTTTTGTTGTTATTTCTTAAAAAAAAATTGTTCTCTATTGTTTTCTTGAGTTTATGTTCAAAATTTCAAGTGATATTGCGGAGAGAATTTTATCATTAAAGGATGTGGAAGTTTTGAAATGTTGAAGAAATTTCAAGTGAGTCTTGTTGAGTTAGGTTGAATTCAAGTTTAAAAGATATTGAGTTTTGGTATCTTGCTCGAAGGGAAGCTACTCTTGAAATTTGAGGTGATTTCGTGAAGAATTGAAGAAGTTGGAAATTTGAGAGTTCTTGATGTTGTTCATGTGTTCATAAGGAAGAAGAAGCATAAAGAGTACATTTGATCCAAAACTTCAGTTGAAAAGTGTTAGAAGTTGTTTGCGGATTTTTGATAACACTCAACTACTTATCTTATAATTCAACGTGTAGGCAGCAGTTAGCAATATAAACCCAATGAGAGGTTGAGGTCGAATCCCACAAGGAACGGTAAATAAAAATTCAACTCACGAAGTGAACTCACGTACTAAACTTTTGTAAATTTGGTTAATCTATTTAACATAAACGTATGACAAAACGAACACCATTGATTAGCTTCATTTCTCTGTCAATGGAGTCGACCGAAGAGTAACTGAATTAAGGGAGAAAACTTGTGTTTGTATTGAATGTGAATTAAAGCTTTGAAAATTACAATGTGACTATATATTTACAATCACTGATCATCTAGGTATGGCAGAAATTAACTAACTAACAAACTTGATTCTAACTAACTCTACTGTACATAACCGACTCTACTGTTCACAACTAACTAATTATACTTTATATTCTCATCACCCCCCCTCAAGTTGGGGGTGATGTAATTACAGACAACTTGTGCAATAGGGCAGTATGTTTAACTCCAGTCAGAGCCTTGGTGAAGATGTTTGCCAACTGTGAATTAGTGGGAATATGATGGAGTGTGATTAGACCTTGTTACAGCTTGGTTTTAACAAAATGACAATCGATTTCTATGTGCTTTGTCCTTTCTTGAAAAACTGGATTCTTTGCAATGTGGACTGCTGCTTGACTGTCACAATGGACAGGGATAGGTAAGGAGCATTGTACAATCAACTCATCCAACAATCTTTCAAGCCACACTAGTTCTCCTACAACTTGTCTCACAGCTCTATATTCAGCTTTAGCAGATGACAAAGATACTGTTGCTTGCTTCTTAGACTTCCAGTTGATAGGACTATCACCCAGAAGCACTAGGTATCCACTAACAGACTTCCTGGAATCAGGGCAAGCAGCCCAATCAGAGTCACAATAAGCACTAATAGTGAGATCAGGCTTGTTTGAGATAAAAATCCCCAATGTTGGATCCTGTTTCAAATATCTGAGCACATGGTATGCTGGTTTCAAATGTGGTTCCCTAGGTGATTGCATAAATTGGCTCAAGTGTTGTACACTATAAGCTATGTCTATTGTTGTGTTGGTCAAAAAGTTTAGCTTACCAACCAACTTCCTATATTGAGTAGGATCAAATAAAAGTTTGCCATCTGTAGCTGTTAACTTCTCAGCGCAATCAAGTGGTGATGTAGTGGCCTTGTGACTTAACACATCAAAATCTTTCAGGAGATTAGAAGTGAATTTCCTTTGTGAAACTAGCACTCTATCATGTCTGTATAATATTTCCAGTCCCAGAAAGTAGTGTAGTTTACCCAAATCCTTTATCTTGAACTGATCATTTAAGAAGCTCTTTAAGGAGTTGATTTCAGCCACATCTGTTCCAGTTAGAATTATATCATCCACATATATAGCAACAAACACCAAGGAGCACCCCTTCCTTTTGTAGAACAGTGAGTAGTCATTGTCTGAGTGCTGATACCCTCTTGAACATAGACAGTTTGCCAACTTCTTATACCATTGCCTGCTGGCCTGTTTTAGTCCATACAAAGACTTCTTCAATTTGCACACCATGTTATCACAACCTACTACAAGACCTTATGGAGGTGTCATGTACACTTCCTCATGCAAATCACCATGTAAGAATGCATTATTGACATCTAGCTGATACAAGCTCCAATCTTTCTTAACAGCTAAAGAGATTAATGTTCTAACAGTAGTCATTTTAACTACAGGTGAGAAGGTTTCAGTGTAATCTACCCCAGCTTGTTGTGTATAACCTTTGACCACCAACCTAGCCTTGAACCTCTCCACACTTCCATCAGCTTTGTGCTTGATTTTGTACACCCACTTGCATCCAATAGCTTCCTTCCCATCAGGTAACATGACCATCTCTCAAGTGTCATTAGCATACAAAGCTTCAAACTCCTGTGTCATGGCTTGCTGCCAGGCAGGGTGCAATATTGCTTCCTCAAATGAAATAGGCTCACATTCATGTGAAATGGCTGTTGCTAACTGCTGACTATCAAAACAAAGACGGGTGAAACATACATGTTTATGGGGAGATATAAAGGAAGTGAGAGAGTGCAGCTTAGGTATGGTGTAGGTGTATTCTTTTAGGTAATTAGGTGTGTGTATGATTCTGGTTGTTCTTCTAGGTGCTGATATTGTAGGTACTGGTAAAGTATCATGGTGCATGGTGGCATTTGGATCAGGTAAGGTAGGTTGAGTTGTAGGTTCATGTAGGACAACATGTGGTACTTCATTCATGTTGGTATTACTGGTTACTTGATTATTAGTGACTTCATGTGGTGTGAAATTTTCCAGTTGATCATCATTAACAAAAGTATTCATTTTACCAGGCATACAAGGCATGCTAGTGGTATGAGTAAGCATTTGCAAAATGGAATTGAAACTAGAACCATCAGGGGCAATAACAAAAGGAAAAATATTTTCTTGAAAAATAACATCTCTTGATATATGAACTTTCTTGGTAGCTAAATTCAAAACTTTGTAACCTTTTGTATTGAAAGGGTAACCAACAAAAACATGAGGTGTGGTTCTAGGTTCAAATTTATCCTTGTGAGTTTTCAAGGTAGTGGGGAAACAAAGACAACCAAAACTCTTAAGGTGGGAATATGTAGGTTATTTATGGTACAACATTTCATATGGAGACTTATTCTGTAAGAGTTGAGTGGGCAGTCTATTAATCAGGTATGTGGCAGTCAATACACATTCCCCCCAGTACCTCATAGGCAACTTTGACTGAAACAAAAGTGGCCTTGCTGTTTTAAGTAGGTACTTATGTTTCCTTTCTACCACCCCATTTTGTTGAGGTGTATAAGGACAAGTTATTTGGTGTATGATACCTTTGTTTTGGAAGAAATTTGTGGCTTCAGCTGAAGTAAACTCTAACCCATTGTCAGATCTTATGGCTTTTAACTTGGTTTGGAATTGGTTTTCTATGAGAGATATGAAGGCTTTGATAGTTTGGAGAGCATTACTCTTACATCTCAGCAATTGTGTCCAAGTGGACATACTGTGGTCATCTACCATAGTGAGGTAATAATGATATCCATTATGAGTGGGAACATGATATGGTCCCCATAGGTCAACATGTAACAACTCAAACACTTTAGTGGTGGTGGTGATACTTTCTGGAAAAGGCATCATAGTTTGCCTAGCCATAGGGCATATGTTGCAAGTAAAAGGCTGTTTAGGAGAAAAATGAACAGGTATAGTTGAGATATTTTTCATTTTTACAAAAGGTACATGTCCTAATCTAGCATGCCACAAAAGTTCATCATCATGAGTGTGATTAGAGACATTTGCAAATGAAGGACAAGCATGAGTAAAACAAGAGGAAGGAAAAACAGTACAATCTGCCTTATTCATAAGAGAGTATTTTACAGAAGAACCAGTGGACACATTAGAATCTGAAACCCTGCTAGTATTGCCTAAACAAGAGACAAGATGACAATTAACATGAGGTGATTTACTCTCAGTAGATGGACAACAATTGTGGCATTTGTGACACAAGAAGTACAGGCCATTCTTGGCTTTACCAAGTTCCAGAGGGCTCTTCAGATAAGGGCCCTGCAGCAAACAAGAAGATTTGTCAAAACTGACTACACCATTGAATTGTAGTGCTAAACAATGAACAAAAATGAGATTAAACTTGAAGCTAGGTACAAATAACACTTTGCTTAGAGTCAAAGCTGGATTTAAACAAGCATCACCAATTTCAGTCACTTTAACCTTGTAACCGTTAGGGAGTGAAATTAGAAAGGGATATGGAAGTGAAATGATGTTTGTGAGGGTGGTCTTATCATAGGTCATGTGGTGTGATGCTCCTGAATCTATGATCCAAGAGCCAGCAGTCAGTTTAACACATTTACAAGAAAAATCACCTATATCAGTAATAGAGGAATAACATGCAAGTATACCTGCCAAGTTCACAGCTCCATTCAGCATGTTGTCTGAATTTGAGGCTCTATTTCCATCTTGTAAAGTTCCCAGGAGATTGAGTAGTTGTTCATATTGATCTTTGGACAAGTTCAATAGCATTTGTCTCCTTACTTCAGGCTCCTCTTCAGATTGAACTCCATTCATATCAGGGGCACACACATTTGCTGCAGCTTTTCCCTTTTTGAACCTTGGATTTGGATTGGATGGGTATCCATGAAGCTTGGAACATCTATCTTTTGTGTGTCCTGATTTCTTACAGTAGTCACAAAACAAAGAAGACTTGCCAGTGCTAGAATTGCCTCTAAACCCAATATTATTATTTGTATTCCCAGAACTGGTTCCACCTCCTCCAGATGAACTGTAGTTTGTCCTGAATCCCTTGTATCCTGCACTGCTGTTGGTCTGTCCATAGGCATTGGGAGAGGTAGAATCCAAAGCTGTATGATTATGAGGCTTCACCTCCCTTTTTTTTTCCTCTTGGGATAATATGGCAAAAGCTTGAGCCATGCTTGGAAGTGTGTTCATCATGAGAATGCTGCATCTGACAGTCGTATATATCTCATTCAATCCCATTAGAAAATGTATCAATCGTCTGTCTTGTTCAACCTTGTGTAATTTGCTTTTACCCCCACAAGTGCACACACAAGTACACTGAGAATTGACATCAATGGTACTCATTTCCTCCCACAGCTTCTTCATTCTTGTGTAATATTCAGTGATGTCTAAAGTGCCTTGGACCAGATCATTAATTTCCTTTTGCAATTGATACAATTTGCACCCATTGATTTGATCGTACCTTTCTTCCAACTCTGCCCAGAGTTCCTTGGCATTGTTCACGTACTGCAAATTATCACGCAATTCAGGGGACAAAGAATTTAAGATCCAAGATGTGACCATGTCGTCACATCTCTCCCACTGCATGAAACTAGGATCTGTAGAAGCAGGTCGCACAATAGCTCTGTTTATAAACCCTGTTTTGCTCTTGACCGAGAGAGCTCTGAGAACAGCCCTTCGCCAAGATCTATAACCAGTACCATCGAAAACTCCAGGTAAAAGAGTGGATCCTGCACTCTCTGAGGGATGTAGGTAAAAAGGACTAGCAGAGTCCAATCGAACTGTAGTCGAACTAGAAGCGAAATCAGTTTGAAGATCAACCATGGTGTTCGAGTATTTGTGAGGAAACTCAACACAAAAACAACCAGAACAACTAATCCCAAACACAAAATCAAAAAATTGACAGAAACAGAGAAATCACCACACAATTCCTTAATCAGGAAATCAAAATTGACAGAAAACAGAAAATTCACAACACAAACCCCCAAACATCTAATCGAAAAACAACACAGATGAGTTTCTGCAAATGTAGAGAAATGAAGCTTACGAAACGATTTTGAAAAGAAGAACTTCAATCAACAGGGCTCTGATACCATGACAAAACGAACACCATTGATTAGCTTCATTTCTCTGTCAATGGAGTCGGCTGGAGAGTAACTGAATTAAGGGAGAATACTTGTGTTTGTATTGAATGTGAATTAAAGCTTTGAGAATTACAATGTGACTATATATATACAATCACTGATCATCTAGGTATGGCAGAAATTAACTAACTAACAAACTTGATTCTAACTAACTCTACTGTACATAACCGAATCTACTGTTCACAACTAACTAATTATACTTTATATTCTCATCAACGTAAATTTGAGAGATTTAGAATATCAATAATAAGTTGTTAACACAAGCGAAGATCAAGGAGATTCAACAAGTAAGAAGGAAATCTTAGGAGTGTGCGTAATTGAACATCAATTTTAATTCGTATTGTGGGTAATTGCATTGCTAAAAACAGTTGGTTATTAACGGATAGGCTAAATTAACATGCACCATTGAGGCAAGTAAAAAAATGATTTTACAAAATCGGAGTTAAAAAATAATCATATGGATGAACTTTTTCTCATACGACGATGACATAGATGAGCTTTACTCAAAACAGTTGGTATATATAAGTTGAAGACAAGAAATCAATACCTGCAATTGGGAGTTTTTGGAGTAGCTGTAAGGATCATCACCAGCATTCATGGGAAAAGATGTTGTCATTTTGGTTCAATGTGTTCTCTTCACTCATAATGTGTTCTTATATATATGGATTTTTCACTCTTTAACTCCACCCTTTCTGGATTTAGTGGTGGGGTTACTTCACCCTTAACCAGAAGTCTCGGGTTCGAGTCCTGAATATGAAAAAAGTCATGTTGGGAGCATCACCCTCAAATGGGCCCTGCACTGTGTGATACTAAAATTTAGTCGGGGCTCTAATGTGGGCTCCAGGAACCGAGTGAAAAAAAAGAAAAACTTATTCTAGATCTTAGATACCAAAACAATAACAATTAAAATATATTATTGCGGTATAATATGAGACACAAATGGTATATATCATTTACCAATAGAATATCATAGATTCATGCTTATTTTGATAGTTTAATATTTATATTATTTTTAACAAGTTTACTTATGAAAAAAATATTGTTTTTACTTGACAATTATTGTGATTTATAATACTTTTACATTGTTTTTAAATATCTAAATTTTATTTCAAAACTTAAAATTCAAATTCACAATCAATGTTTAGAAATTTGGATCTTGTATTTCAATTAAGCTACATAAATTGGAACAGAGGAAGTATATGCATATTGTATACGTACTATTTTGTATCTAGTATATAGATACCAATTAAGTATATATATTATTAACGTATACTACTATTATAAATTGTTTATGATAAATAATCTGAATATAATTATACAATATATGAAAATATATAACTTGATGACACGACTTGAATAATTGAGACAACAAAATCTCGTGGGATCTTTTCGTATTGATTATTATTTCTTATAAATAATAATTAAAGAGCAAATTAAGCATTTTTCATTTTAAAATAGACTTGAATTATTCAAATGTATGAATTTATCTGATGTCTATTTAGTGGTATAAAATTGAGATTATTATATTGCGAAAACAATTTGTTGGTTGAAGTCATGAAAACGAAAAATACTTCCAATATAAAATCAGAAGTAATCAACTTTTAAGATAAAAAATACATTACATATAAAAAATCCTAACTTACGACTTTTAATCTTGTCATAAATTTATTTATAACTATTATTCACTTATAAACAACTTGCATCATAATTCATATAACTAATTAACATGTGAACCAAATGAACCAACGAAATCCAAGTCATCAACTTGTTTAATATATATTCATGATATAAACGAAAGTTCATATAACCAGAGGCGAACTCATGATTCGAAGACTTTGGGTGCATCGATATTACCTTAACTTAATTATGAGCTCTAAGATAAACTTAAAATAAAAATAGTGAAATAAACACTCCAGCTTGATTTGAACCCAAGTCTCGGAAGTGGATCATCTAGCTTGTATGTCACGACCCGAGCCTACACCCTGGACGTGGCCGACACTCGAAGACCATTGCTGGTCCTCAAGCGAACCCTCATCCTGGCTGACTACAAGCTGAAGACTAACTCAAACATGCAAAAGCTTAAAAATTGAATAAAATTCATGAAACTTAAACACATAAGCTTTAACTCAAAAGAAAACTGAATAAAAATAAATTATTCAACTCGCCATAAAATAGGCAACTTAAGTCTTTAAAACATTTAATAAAATACATGAAAAATACAGACTTATCAACTATACTGACTATCTATGAAGCCTCTAACTGATAAAGATGGAAGTCGGGACAAGACCCACGACATCCTGACTAAACTGAAAAGTAAATGAAATTGTAACATCCGGCAATGTGAAATAATTGAAGAGGCTTAGAATTGGAAATTTTCATTTTTGGAAAGGATTTGAAAATCTGGAAAATTTTGGCTAAGTATCGAAAAGGTGAGTTTTTGGCCAACTTTGATCAGTCGTAACTTCTAGCTCATGATGATTTAGAAGTATTTCCAGTTATGGTTGCATAGCCCTCGGAACGATCTTTCTAACGCCACCGAGTTTGCTCAATTCCGAGTCCGTATGAGCGAGTTATGGCCATTGAAAGTTGGGCAGTTGGCAAGGAATCCGTCCGGGAATCATTAAGGGCATTTTGGTCTTTTCCCTAGCCTTTTATTTTGGTTATATAAATGTGTTAGGCTGATCATGTTGATCAGTTTTACCATTTTAAAAGGAGTGAGAGTGAGGGTTTCGAGAGAAGAAGAAGAGAAGAAGAAGAGAAGAAGAGAAGAAGAGGAGATCAAGCAAGGAGATCATCGTGGATTTTCGTCGGGGGTGATCCCTATCAAGGTATGTGAGCTTTTAGTGGTGGGTGATCCTTTCCCCCACACACCTAACCCCTTTTATTCATTAAGAAAGGATTGGCTTTGTTGTTAAAGTTGTGAGTTGTTGTGGTTGAAGTTGTTAAAGTTGTTAGTTGTGGTTGTTGTTGAAATTATTGTTGGTATTGTTGTTGATTGAAATGTTGAGATTCTTGATGAATTGGGACTTGTTTCCGATTGGGGTTTTGAGTTGAAATCTATTGAATGTTGAGGGATTTCATGTTTCTAAGTGATTGGGGCTGGAACCCTTGAAGTTAGAAAGTTTAGAGTTGGTAACGTGAAGGAGAAAGTCGGGCAGCTTGCGAGGAGCACGTCCGCGTCGCGGACTTGTTCCCTCTGTGAACAAAATCTTCTCCGCGTCGCGGACAGGACGCGGACTCCACTGTTTTCAGAATTTATGTTCGAAGATTTTCTGTAGTTTGGCTGTCCCAAATCATTCCTAAATCATTCCTAAACACCATGAGGTCCTTCCAAATACCAATCAAGTCCTTGAATCCATAATTCAAGAAAGTTAGGATCAAGTCAAGTGAAGTTAGAAGTCAAGTGGAGTTAGAGCCAAGCTTAGAAGTTAAGCAAGTCAAAGCAAGTCTTTAAAGCTTTTTCAAGAGTCGTTATTGAACATCTTAACGTCGTTTCAAGTCTCAAGTTGAGTTAAGAGTATCAAGTCTCAAGTTGAGTTAAGAGTTTCAAGTCAAGTCAAAAGTAAAGAATTTAAATAAAGTAAGGAGTAAAGAGTCGAGTCCATTTCTCCAAAGTTATTAGGGAACTATGTACTTCCCAAAGAAGTTCTAAATGTTTTTACATTTAAGTAAGAAAGGAGCCATGTTTTCCAAAAAGAGCCTTTGGGCTAAGTTTTGAGTAATCGTCTCAATCAAAGAAAGAAGTTATTTTAAAAGCATGAGCCAAAGTATTTTTGGGAGTAGTATTGAGCACCGAATTGGGGACACGAGTTCATATTAACTCAACTCTCCATAAGAACCATGCGCCAACATGGGACTTGACGTATCATTCTTTTTAGATGATCACGTAAGATTAGGCTAGTGGATCCACTAAGCAAAAGTAAGGTCCTATATCGATGGCAAGGTATAGGATGGTCCTTTGGCAACGTGAGGTAAAACGTTGTACCATCACTAAGGCTCGTAGTGGTGGTTGTCGGTTAAAGAACCTCCCACAAAAGTTGTATTATGTTTATAAAAGAAAAGCTGAGTTTGTTATCATTTTATCCTTAACGATATAAGTTGTTTACATTCTTTTACAAGCTTATTATGTATGGCTGGCGTCTTATTGCTTTACTTTGAGTCCAGTTATTTATATGAGTTGTTCAGAGTCAAGGTAAGTGATCTCCTGTTCTCCTTTCAAGCTTAAGTTGTGGTTCAGCTTTTCCAGCTCACATATTCGTACATTCCATGTACTGATGCCAGTTGGCCTGCATCGTCTTATGATGCAGATACAGGTACCCCGGATCAGCATCCTGCACGTCGTTGATCCAGCTGAGCACTCCAGAGTCTGTGGTGAGCCTCCTTGTATTCCGGAGGACTCAATTATTTTGTGTACTTAGTTTTGTTCTATTAGGATGTTGCGGGGTCTGTCCCCACATCCATCTCAGTATATTAGAGGCTTCAATAGACAGTCAGTCAGTAGTTTTGAGTCTCTCATCTATGTATATGTATATATATATATATGTAAATATTCTATTTTGAGGCTCGAGTTGCCCCTTTGGGCCATATTTTTATTAGTTAAGTTGTTTATGTCTTTGCATGACGTTGAGTTATTCTGTTGAGTTAGGTTTCCGCTGAGTTAAGAAAGTCAGGCCAAGGGTTCGCCTGGGGCCAGCAATGGTCTCCAGGTGCCGGTCCCGCCCAGGGTGTAGGCTCGGGGCGTGACAGAAATCCTCCGGAAACAAGCACTACAAGAAAGTTGAGATACGACGACATTATATAAATGTTGTATTCAACTGTTTAAATGTCATACATTAATTTACCAACATTTAATTTACATTTGAATCAAATGTCGTTTATTTCAGTGTCGGGAAATTTCCGACATTTACCTAAATGTCGTTAATCATTTATGACATTTATTTTCTGACATTTAGGTAAATGTCAATATGAAATTTATGACATTTATTTTTGACATTTTGATAAATGTCAACAATAATTTTACAACATTCATTTTGCAACATTAAGGTAAATGTTGATAGTAAATATATGACATTTATTTTGTGTCATTTAGAGAAATGTCAATTAGTAATTTATGACATTTATTTTCTGCATTTCGGTAAATGTGGATAAGAAATCTCCGACATTTACTAAACATCACTTTAAATTTCTAACATTTAGATTAATGTTGATAAAAGTTTCTTTACGACATTTACTTTGGGCTTATATAAAATGTCACAATAAAGTTTTGACATTTTAACCAATGTTAGCAAATAAAATGTTAAATGTCGTAAAAATTAGTGACATTTATATAATATTTTGCAAATTTTCTTTAAATTTTTCTTTATTTAGATTAATAGCAGCACCAAATTTTTTAAAATATCAATACTAAAGCTCTCTATAATTTTTATTCTAACACAAACTTAAATTATACATAAATCAAATGAATTTTAATAATATAATCAAATAGCAAAGTCGCAATATAGTAAGTGTCATGTAAAAGATAAATGATCTCAAAGTAAATAATGTGTTCTATCTCAAGTAAAATTGAAATCTAACTAGATGCTAATAATTTCAAAACCACCTGTTTTTCACATTTTA